ACTCTGCTAATTACAATAAAAAAATTTTTGGTTTTCAATTGATAAATGATTATATTTATTTAATTAGGGTTATAAAATAATTTAAATAATAATAGTCAATTAAGCTTCAACTATTAATGCTAAATTAATATTTAGTGAGTGATATTGATATTCTATTTTTAACACGCGATTTGGTTGCTAGCTGATATCAGGGGCGGACTGGAGACGCTACGGCCTCGTGGGCATTTTTTTATAGCGGCCTCATTTATATGGGGGCTTCGCCCTCTTCCCTTATATGGCTTCTTCGATTTACATGATTTTTATTACTTCTTATTTTCAAAAATAAGTTCAAATGATTTACATTTTTAGTAAAAAAAAGAATATTATTTTTAATTTATTTTTAAAAAATGCACATCTAAAATCATATTCACTCCCAATATAAAATAATATTCATTGCACATATATATTTTTTTATATTAGATTTATAACGATATTCCACTATAAAATCAAATCATACATCACATGTTAAATATAAAAAAATACATACTTAATATATCAAATCTATTAATTTTACACATATAGTTATTGCAGTTATACAATATTACAGCGTATAAAATTGCTGCACTTATAAAATCAGGCACTGATCATATTGTAAATAGATATTAATAAAATTCAAATAAAAGAATTAAGGAAATATATAATTTTTACGTTAATAAATCTCTCATTAATTTTGAACCTTTACTCAAATATACAAAAATATCTTCTAGTTCAATCTGCGCCAATGGTTCTCATTCAACTGACATCACTAAAAACGCTTCTAATTTTTCTTGGTCAATATTAGATCTCAGCTTATTTTTGTAATTTTTAATTTACTAAATGTTTTCTCGCAATTAATTTGCGTAAATGACAAAGTTAAATGTATTCATATGCCAATAAATTAGTGTCACTTGTATGCATATTGCATCTTTTAAAATTTCATACGCGCATATTAAACATTTGTTACACTTATTATCACACTCTAAGTTATTATGATATTGTAATATTCCTTCTTCTTCATTTGACTCCTCACTTGTTCATACGATCATCTTCCGTTTCATTTATTCTGCTACCATATCTTTGAATACACTGGCAAATGAACATTATTTGTTACGTAATTTAACACGCAATATATATATCTTTACTATTTATTTCATCAATATAGAAATCCTGAAATCATACTTCCCTACTCATAGGATTTTCCACACATTTTAAGATGAAATTAAAAATTATTCTATCTGCTGAATATCCTCAGCAATATAAGATTTGCAATCTAAATTTTAAATAGTTAAACATTTTAAAAGGTGGTATATCATTAAATTATTTTTCTGGCATCCCCTTCCTTTATAGCCTGGCATAATTTCCTTCTTTTTTCTTTTTTTCTCTTTAGCTTTCACCTTTTCTGGTGGTAAGCTCCTTCAACATCTCTCTCCACTTTATGTTATTCATGCAATCTCTTTTATCTAATTTATACTTCTTTAAATTGGCTCTAACTTTATGGTTCATTGAAGTTTTGGCCTTCCTCTTTTACGTTTGCTCATCACTTCCAAGCTCTCAACCTTATTTCCTATGTAGTTCATAGGCCTTCTAATTGTGTGCCCATACCATCTAAGTCTGTTTACCAATAACTTAGTCTACCTTTAAACTACTTAGTATTCTTGTACTGCGCACTTTATCCTTTCTTGTTACCCCAGCAATCCCTCAGCATTCTCATTTCCATAGTTTGTAGACTTCTCTCGTCTGATTCCTTGGTTGGCCATGTTTCCGAACTATAGAGAATAGTTGGTTGTATTATGGAACTGTAAATTTTTCCCTTTAATTTGTGTGGGATTCTTTTATCAAATAGCACATTTAACCACCCTTGATTAATTTTACTCTTTATCTCTTTTTGCCGTTTGTTTGTATAGTGGAGCCCAAATATTTGCAGCTTTCAATTGCCGATATCTGCCATTCATTTATATCAATACTCTCTGTTTCATCTCCTCCTATCACCATATATTCCGTCATTTCTCTATTTACTTTTAGTCCGTGCTTTTTTAGGATATTTATCCAATTCACTAATCTTTCTTTCATTTCATCCTTGGATTCGGCAAGTATCACAATATCATCAGCAAATATCATATTCCACGGGACTGTTTGAGGTAAAGATTGTGCTAATACATCTATTACTGTAATGAAGAGTAGTGGGCTGAGAGCCGATTTGATGAATTCCTTCGGCTATTGTGAAGCCTGCTGAACTGTTGTGCTACGGACCATTGTTGTATGGCCCATATACATATCCTGTATTATTCTTATATATTTTTTGGGAACCTTTTGTGGCGTAGCACCCACCAGATATGTTTTCTGGGATTCTATCAAAGGCCTTTTCTAGATCGAGAAATTTTTTGTAGCTTTCTCAACTTATTTTGGCCAGATAAATTATTCTGTTTCACCCAGGTATCTATCCTTTAATCTGATTCACCGACCTGGATTTTATTTGATTTCAATGAATTAAGAACAAGAAATGTTGGCTATATTATTTCTACAATAAATCAATGTATAAAAATGTAATATAATGAATTAATCAAAACTTAGCTTTCACTCTACTCAAACGGTAGCGTTTTTACTTCATTTGAATAAAAGCAAAGAAAAAAACGAGGTAATGATGTATAGCGTCAAGCGACGTTACTGGTATTTTATGCATTAAATTATAGTAAACGACATGACAATTGTCAAGGAATGTGATATTCAAATCATAGAGATATCATTAAAAATAAATAAATGATAATAGTAAATAATGTGAACATAATAATATTTTTTTTTTCTAATCGGCTTTTTTGATATTTTCCTCTGATCGGTCTAAAAATCAACATTTCTCGCGGCCTCGTGGGCAAAATGCCCACCTGGTCTTATGGCCAGTCCGCCCCTGGTTGATATAGTGAAAATATAATTTATATTGATTAATTCATTTAATCTAATATTTAAAATAGTATTTATTGCTATACTTTTTTGAAAACGCTAGCGGTAGCGATAGCGCGCTACTTTTTTTGCAAAATATCGGTAGCGTTAACAACACAGGATATCATAGACTTATCCAGCATTTTATAATGGGGAGGGGGCTATTAGGTAGGGTTTTTCCACCTTAAATTTTATTGGAGGTCTTTAGGTACACTTATTGTAAATTTGGCTATATTATATTTTTATAAAAATAATTTTGGTTTCACCTATTTTTTTATAAAAATGCTTTTAAATCTAAAATTTTGTAGAGTTGTTATTTTTAAAATTTATTAACTTTTACTAATTTTTCTTTCAAGTTCTTCTTATAGTGATATATTGTATATATTTTTGGAGGAGAAGTGGAAATACTATTTTAATTAGATACCAGAGTTGAAATTAGTTTGATAAGCGCAATAGATTTTAATAAATTTTTGAATTATTACAAAAAGCGTAAGAGCCAAACAATTAGACGGTAGTGTAGTTAAAGTTTCAGGTTATTATGTACTAAAGCTACCTGGAATTAATAATAGTTAGCGCTATGGATTGCAACTTTAAAATTGAGCCAATTTTAGGTTGGAGCGACATTAAAACCATCGGTCCTGATTGGAAATCTTTTGAAATTGTCTCGGAGATCAACATTTTAAATAAAGGAATAATAAAGATCGATAGCGAAAAGACTAAGTTACCTAGTTTAGAAGTTAAACAAGAGTTAATCCTCGATAAACTTCGAAATTGATCACCAAAAATTGTGAATAAATATAGAACCAATACAGAAGAGAAAAAAGGCTAAGAGATATAAAGTTAATAGAGGTAACTCAAGTCGAGGTCTACAAACAAAGAATAAATAAATTAGAAGCTACTGAGATTGTTGAAAAGAAAGGTGTCATAAAATAGATAATATATTAAATAGATACAAGGAAGTTTTTAATGATGAATTAGGAACATTAAAAGATTTTGAGTTAGATATAAGATTAGTGAAAATTTACCAACCTAAATTTTGTGTCATTTGAAGATCACTGTTTCAATAAATAGAAGAAATAGGTAAGGAACATGGCTGAAAGAAAGAATAATAAATCCAGTAGTTCATAGAATATGGACGATATCGTTGATCCCCATTAGAAAACCTGAGTCTGAGATTATGTATAGACCAGTTAAATACCCGTTACCTAGGATAGAACAATTATTAGCAAGTCTAAAGGGAACAACAATTTTTTCGGATATCGATTTTTCTAATGCATATCTGCAGATTAAGGTGTGAACAGGGTTGCCAGATCAAAATTTTCAAATTGCGGGAAAATTTTGGTATTTTGTGGGAGAAATATGAAAATTGCGGTAGAAATATAAAAATTGCTAAAGAGAATTTTGCGGGCCTTCGGATCGAATATTGAATTGACTTATATTTTTGATAATTACTTTATATAAATATAAAGTCGGTAACTATTTTTCAAAATAGGTAAGTATAGTACGAGACAATTTTTTTTTAAATACTATCTTTATTATTAAAATATATTAATTTTATAAAAATACAAACGATTTTAATTTTACTATGTAAAATATTAAAATGATTTTATAAAATATAAAAAAAATAGGGATAATTAAAATTATATTATTACTTACTTAAATAATTTATATTTAAAATTCAGTTAAGCTATTATATTATTACTTACTTAAATAATTTATATTTAAAATTCAGTTAAGCTATTATATTATTAAATACTTAAATAATTTATACTTAGAAGTTCAGTTGTATATCTTAAGGCAACAAAAACAATTATATAAATAAATATATATTTTCATTTGACAATCACTTGTTTTTCTCATATATAATAACTTGAATTGTTTTCTTTTTAAATTATATAAATAAAATACCAAATTACTATAACAACCATTCTAGATTAAATATTCAAGCCTTATAAATTCTCTTTCATTAGCCTATATTACATCCTGTGCGAACATTCTAATAACCATTCTACTTTAAATATTCAAGCCTTATAATTATCTTTCTCAATATGGTGGAGGATAGGAATGATGTAAAGATCACGAGTATTTTGGAGTTGTTCAATACAAAACCGGACAGACTTGAGTCTTTCAGAGAGTATTTCGATAGACTGAAAGGGTATGGTTCGGGGCTCAATCCTGAATTTTTGTCGGTGCATTTTATGTTGAATTGTCGTAATGAAAAGCTAAAAACAAGGTTGATTGAAGAAAATATTACAGAGATTAATATTATAGAGGACATTGTCAAATTTGAATCGTTGGAGATCAATAATAATAAAACATATGTAGAGAAAGATTCTTGGAGAAGAGAGGATAGAACCGATTGGCAAGGCTATTCGTCTTGGAAAGAGAACAAGCAGAATTTTAAGGCCAGCACCAACAACAACAATTACAACAACAACAGCAGCAACAACAACGGCAGCAGCAACAACAACAACGCCAGCAGCAACAACAACAGCAGCAACAACAACAACAACGGCAGCAACAACAACAACGGCAGCAGCAACAACAACAACAACAGCCATTACAACAATTTCAAAAAGACGGAGATGATACAAACCCCTTATAATTTAAGGCCAAGAAATGAAATTAATTTTATTAATGATATTATGATTGACCTTCAAGTTAATAATTATGATTTTTCTTTTATGATAGATACTGGTTCTCCGGCGTCATCCTTGCCCATGAAAGAGTTTGAAAAGCTTACGAAGGATGAAGTTGTTAATACTAAAGAAATAGGAGATAGGGTTAATTTTTTAACTTTTTATAATCCGTTATCGCTTCGAATAGGAATTGGTTGATTGTTCAATGACAATGACTTTGATAACCTTAAATTTAAAAGAAATGACAATGACTTTGATTTATTACCTTAATTTTAAAAGATTTAAATTTTGAGAATTAACTTTACGCAACTCCGTTTTTTTTTTCAAAGTGAGATCAATCAATTATGGCGTGGGGGTATTGTCACTGAGAGGATCAGTAATGTCATTTTAAATTCAAACTTTCTAAGGTCAAAATTATTCATTTAGATCATAATGGTTCTTTAATTATAATTGTTTTCTATGATAATACGCTTTTCTTATATTTTTTTATCACCATCTCCAAATTTTTTTTTTATATTAATTTTATTCCAAATATATTTATTGTTTTATAGTGTTAATTGTACCTATCGATAGTGTAATTTATACCTTTTGTAAGGGTAATTACATAAAAAACTATCATGTATAACTTTGGTGCCAATTCCCCTTGATACATATATTTCATTCTTAAAAATAAATTACCTCTCGCATGCCAAACGACTTCTTTCTTTCCCCATTTTGTTGTACCATGTTGTGTTTTCAAGACTTTAATTTTTTTTATATATATATATTTTTTTTTGGAGGTGGTGCATGTTGCATCTGCACTATTATAATAAATTTTTTTTCATATATTTTAATGATTGTTTTTTTTTGATTAAATAATTTTCTTCATTATATAAATTTTATTCCAAATATATTTATTGTTTATTGGCCACCTATAGTGTGAATAGTACCTATTGATAGTGTAATTTATACCTTTTGTAAGGGTAATTACATAAAAAACTATCATGTACAACTATGGTGTCAATTCCCCTTTATACATATATTTTCATTCTTAAAAATAAATATAAATTATCTCCCGCATGCCAAGCGAGCGTTTATTCCCTATAAATTGTAGTTTCTTTCACTTTTTATTTCAATATTCATTTTTTTATATTTTTTTTGGAGGGAGTGCATGTTGCATGTGCGCATGTGCGCTATTATATTATTACTTACTTAAATAATTTATATTTAAAATTCAGTTAAGCTATTATATTATTACTTACTTAAATAATTTATATATAAAATTCAGTTAAGCTATTATATTATTAAATACTTAAATAATTTATATTTAAAAGTTCAGTTGTATATCTTAAGGCAACAAAAATAAATATATAAATAAATATATATTTTCATTTGACAATCACTTGTTTTTCTCATATATAATAACTTGAATTGTTTTCTTTTTAAATTATATAAATAAAATACCAAATTACTATAACAACCATTTTAGATTAAATATTCAAGCCTTATAAATTCTATTTCATTAGCCTATATTACATCCTGTGCGAACATTCTAATAACCATTCTACTTTAAATATTCAAGCCTTATAATAATTACCCTTTCTCATTAATATTAATTATATTTTATTTGAGATTTAAATAATGGAACACGTTTACCGTCGTTTTTAAGATATTTATAAAATTGCTGGCATGGCATTTATAATTTTGTTTAACCATTAGCTCAGCGTCTAATTTTGTTAGAGCAATCCGATTTCTTTCCTTTCTCCAGGCACTCCTCAAAAATGCGCTCCACTACGTTTACCGTCGTTTTTAAAATATTTATAAAATTGTTGACATGGCATTTATAATTTTGTTTAACCATTAGCTCAGCCTCTAATGTCTGTCGCTAGAGCAATCCGATTTCTCTCCTTTCTCCAGGCAGTTGAGGTAAGGGGAAAACATACTCGCATCTTTTTTCCAAGCATGGGGATTTATCGTTATTACGAAAAAATTCTACCCATTCCTCCTCTGTTTTTAGACCATCTAACTTTAAATATCCTGGCGAATCATAAAATATAGAGAGAACTACAATCTCCTAAAACAAGACATCAATATCTATAGGTATATTTAATATTTTATTAAACCATCAATTGATGGTTTCTGTTCCAAGGTCATAATATTTATACATTTGTAAATAGAATTATTAAAATCAAATTTTGATATCAAATATTCTAAAATTGTCTTAATAAAAATTGCTTCTTGTAAAAATGCATTAATTAGAGTATTATTTGAACATTTTAATATAATATTTTTAGCAATAGAGACATAAAATTTATTATCAATTTTTAACTGTAAAGATGAACCAGCTACAGCATAATTTTCCGAATCTTCATTAATAAAGATTCTTCTGATTGCAATTGAATATTAATAGCATGTAGTAGATTTCCTACATGTGAAATCATTCCTAAATATGGTTCTGTCATTTCATCCTCGAAAAAATTTATTAAAATAATCAGGGCAGCTTTTATATCTTTATTTAAGAAGTAATATTTAAAGGTTCGTAAATTTTTAAATTCTATCTATGATAACCACCTGATAGGGACATGTCGCAACAACTCACACCATTCCAAGTCAGACCATTCCACGAACTCCTCTTTTAGTTGATAAACTAAATTCGTTTAAACATTTCATCACAATTATTTCGACATCCACATAATACATTCATTGCCTTCTAGCAAGAATTATGTAGTATATGGCATATGCAGCCAATTGCTATTAAGTCATTATTGTGCTGCTTCAATTCGGTAAATACACTTTAATTTTTGACAAATTTCACAGAGGCATTATCAGCGCAGAAAGCTGACAAGCAACTCATTGATAACCCTGAGTCAGCTCTATTTACCATTATGTGGTTAGCTATATCGTTGGGTTTTTTACTATTCGAGGAAATTTTTTTTAACAGTTTTATTGAAATACCCTTATTCTTGTTGAAATTGCGAAATTTCCCTTATTAGATGCATCTGTTAAAATTGTATATGGATGTCGATCTTTCAAATCGTCTAGGATTGACCTCTTGGATTCAGGTTATAAAACATTTGTGATAACCTTGCTCATTTTTGTTCTACCACAAGTAAAGTTTAAACTTATATTGGAGTCGTTAAATATTATGGGGAAAATATTTGACCCATATTGTAATGATAGGATAGGTTTATATGATTTCCACACTGTAGTTGCATCTGTATTATTAATAATGTAATCAGCATCTACATGAGCGCGAGGGGTAGGAACAGTTTGCATCCTATTGAGGTAAGCTTTAATGGGGGTAGGATAAATTTTTTGGCGGGTTATCTATTAAATTTTGAGATGAAATAGGACAAAATTTAATGCTGTAAAAATTAATACTTTTATTATAGTATTATTATAATACAATTCATCGACCAAATCTATATAATGCAAACAATCATACACATTGTTTACCAAATAAACTATCCTTTTAAATGTAATTTAAAAGGTTTCGATATATCAGCAAGCTCATAATGCCATAATAATTAATTCATTGTAAATAATGGAGGTTTTAATTGAATTTATTATCTAAAATAATAAATTCTTTATTATCTAAAATAATAAATTCTTTATTATCTAAAATATAAATTCTTTATTATCTAAAATAATAAATTCTTTATTATCTAAAATAATAAATTCTTTATTTTCTAAAATAATAAATTCTTTATAATCTATATAATGAATTCTTTAAAATCTAAAATAATAAATTCTTTATAATCTATATAATAAATTCTTTATAATCTAAAATAATAAATTCTTTATAATCTAAAATAATAAATTCTTTATATTCACAAAATATCGATAGTTGGTAGTAGAGATAGATTAATTTAAGTTATCCTTTATAAATTCTTTGAAAAGAGTATCAATAAATAAATAGGTGAAAATAATAATAAAGAGACACCTCCGCCGAAGGCGGCGGGGATTTTTTAGGGGGGTAGGCAAAGGTTTTTGAAGGGGGCTTGCATCCAGTAAAAATCTTGTGATGTAGACACTGAATGTAATTGAACTATAATAAATAAAATAATTATCAATTTCATTGAAATCAGTATAATATTATTTTATTATATATTAAATTTAACCTGAACGTGATAATTAAGCGCCAAGCCCTATATTGTTATATACAAACACACTGAAAATGATAATATAAAGGTTGGCAGGGAGTAAGGAAGATAAGACAAATTTTTTTATTTAATAAATATATTTTAAAATGTTTAACTACAATATCACTAAAAAACTATAATAAATTTATCCTTTATTATATAAAATAAAACTATTAAATAATTAAATGAAACTATTAAGTAAAGTTACGTGATACGTGATAAAAGCGTTTTCGCCCTCTGGTTGTGGATACAACAGAGCTACGCTAGGTTTTCCTCAAAATCCATCAAACTGGATAGTTAATTTAGGGGAGAAAAAAAAATGAGGAGCCCTTCACACGTTTGTGGGCAAGCCGCACGTACTTGTACGCGCAACAGTCCGAGAACTGTCGCTTAAACGTCTATAGGCTAATCAACAAAAGAAATGGGCAAAAACAAAAGCCTATACCCATGAACTGCCAAAATAATTTAATTACTTTAAGGGTGGGTGGTGGCTAATTTTAAGTTTAACATCTAATGTAAGCCTTGATAGTTACTTAGAACTAATTGAGAATATGTTCATATCCATTGAGATTAGAAATTATTCATGAAAATAAGGAAAAGCTAAAATGGGTTTACCACAAATTGTTTAAAAGGTGAAAATTCCAGTGAATAGGCAAAAACTAGTCAGTAATCGGTTTATGACTATCCAGCAACGAACACCACACAACAAACGGTTATTTTTTCCTTTTTCCAGAGAAACAAAAATACTCTATGGAGTGATAGATAGATTATATAGCGAAAAAGGTCTTTGATAGTGATAACGATATGAGAGAAAGGAAACTATGACGCAGAAATAGGAACCAGCTCCGTAAGTTTTAGGAAAAGTTTTAGGAAAATGGAAAAGTAATTGTTGGCCAGGATTAAACAAAAGGCATTTTGGCTTGATTGTTATATGATAGTCTATCATTCACGGAAAGACTCTACCAACAAAACATATTTACAAACCTCGCCACCCCCTGTCGACTGGTTTCTCCATAAATGAAATAACAAGTGAACAAAGACTTAGAAAAAAACACTAAGAAAAAGCAAAAGCTCCAG